TAAACTTGTGAAGAATTTTTTTTTTTTTTTTTTTATTTCCTTCAACAAAACTTGATTTTCTTTTCATCCCCATCGATCCACTTTCTTCAATCATGATTCGAGTCTATAATAAGTGGTGTCGCGTGGGTGGAACCTTTAATGGATGGATGAATCGCCTTCTTCTTTGCGTGTGTGAAGATGCTTCTTCTTCGTTGGGTGAATCATGGGTTTTGAGGGGTGGTTTGGGGTTTTTCTTTGTAATCAGTTGTTTTGGGGCCTAGTGGAACAAGTTTATGGCGTATTAATTATGGCTATTAAATGTTTTAATTTGTTTTAAGTGTAGTAATCTAATTTGTTCATTTTTTACAGTAGTAGGCCTAATTTCCTCAACCCTAATTAGGGTTAGAGTCGGTAATTGGCTGACTTTATAATTTCCTATATAATGGCTAGGTCTCATCTCCTCTCCATATCGTTTTGGCTTGCCCTATTGATGACTGATTATTTTTTAGGAGTAAGGAGAGGAAGATCTAGCCGGTAATATTCATAAACAAAAATGTCTTCTGCAGGTATGAATTTTAATCTACGAATTTAGAATACGTGACTCATGTTCTTAGCATGATTATTAAATAATTTCAACAATTGGTATCAGAGCCTACATGCTAAAATTAGAATCATTTAAACAAAACTAAAAGCAAAACCCGGTTGTTGTCTGAATGTTAATTACAACAATTGCTATCCTTCCCCTCTTATATGTATAAGTGTGAATACAAAAAAAAAAAAAAAAGTCTAATGCCTCTTCTCTCTCGTGCATATATGAATGAACCCATGTGTATGTATAATGGCTATATGTATATAAATTACCGGCAAACCACACTCTGTGTGTGTGTGTGTGTGTCTATATATATATATATATATTTCTCCGGTAATCTGTGTGCATCTTTCTCTCGAGTAGAAGCGCCCCGCCCAATTTAGGGATACAACGCGCGCTGCAGGCAGCTACTATCTGCAGCAACATCATGCTGCTACAAATGCAGCTTGCGTCTGGGCCTTCGCAGCCGCGAGCTGCCGTCTATGGGGATGGGGGCTTCTCCTGCAGCTGCTTTGCACTGAGTTTTTCGTCGTTTGATGATTGTGATTGTTATTGTTAAATTTTTCGTAGATTTCAAGTCTATCTTAGTACTCCCATTAAGAGAAATATTTTGAAATAAAAGTGGGTGGTAGCTACCAAACTAGTACACTCATTTTTATTTATTTAGTTTTCTTCCAAAACAAAAAAATAGACGTTAGTATCGTAATCTTGAATTATTACATATAGTATCTTGTCAAAAGGTGTTATTATATGTGATATTTTTGAAAATTGGCATAAGA